ATTAGATGGTATATGTCTTTCATGACACAAAAGCCTTTAAGAAGATCACTGCAGCAAATGCCGTAAATTGTGTTTCATAGCACACTAGAAGCTGATTCCGACTGCTCTTATTTTCCTGCTTCTCATTTTGTGTGCACCTCGCTCATTGTGTTTGCCTTTGTGAGACATCCTCCTATCTTTCCTCTATTCATTTAAATTGTACTCAAAGAGCTATGGAGCTGAAAAGGGGTCTTAGTGGTCATGGGCCAGCAGTTTACAGATGTCAGAACTGAAGCTTGAGAGAGGCACCCTACAACATCCTAACAGCAGCATGAGGCAGAGCGAAGGACAGTCTTTTGATTATACCCTGTGACCTCATGTAAATAAAAACAAATATGGGAAATCTTAGCTCCTCCTTCAAGACTCTGCTCATGTACGTCTGCACTAGAGCCACTTCTGACCATAGCAGGAGCACTGTTCGGACCCAGGCTATACTGCCCACTTTCTCTATGACCAGGAGCAGTCTTTTCTCTCCACGGTCTCAGTGTCCCAACCAGTAGAATGGAGAAAAAAATAGCTCCTACTTCTCAGAGTTGTTAAGTAAGAGCCTCAAATAAGTTTAATATTCGTGAAGCACTTAGAATAGTGCTAGCCCATAGTAAGTGCTCCATGAGCATTAGTTGTCATTATTATAATTGTCCATATTAAACACTCTTTTCTCTTCTATTTTGTATTTGTCACAAATACCACCCAGTTAGCACTTATTTATTTTCCAGACCTTTTATTTAGAATGTTAGTTTATTCTGGTTTTCTCATCCAAGCCCAAGCCATTCAGGCTAAGACTATGTCCTTGATTTCTCCTGTGTACCTCTATAGGGCTTAAGAAAGTGTTTGATGCAAAACAGGGATTCTGTAAATACTGGGTTTTTTTCTGCTAGTTGATAATAAGATAAATAGATTTCTCATAGTTGCAACTCTGGCCAACCTTTAGATGTTCTCCAAGAAAATGCCAATTAAAATGTGGTAGCAGTATAGTACACTGTGCTCTGTGTTAAAAAAGCAAAGACCCTATTTTTTTGCAGCACTATTTACAATAGCCAAGATATGGAAGCAACCTAAGTGTCCATCAGTAGATGAATGGATAAAGAAGATGTGGTACATATACACAATGGAATACTATTCAGCCCTAAGAAGAAAACAAGTTCTACCATTTGCAACAACATGGATGGAGCTGGAGGGTATTATGCTCAGTGAAGTAAGTCAGGCAGAGAAAGACAAATACCAAATGATTTCTCTCATCTGTGGAGTATAACAACAAAGCAAAACTGAAGGAACAAAACAGAAGCAGACTCACAGACTCCAAGAAGGGACTAGCAGTTACCAAAGGGGAGGGGTGAGGAAGGGCAGGTGGGGAGGGAGGGAGAAGGGGATTGAGGAGTATTATGATTAGTACACATGGTACCGGGGAGATCACAGGGAAGACAGTGTAGCACAGAGGACAAGTAGTGACTCTGTGGCATCTTACTACACTGATGGACAGTGACTGCAATGGGGTAATGAGGGGGGGACTCAATAATATGGGTGAATATAGTAACCACATTGTTTTTCATGTGAAACCTTCATAAGAGTGTATATCAATGATACCTTAATAAAAAAAATCACCAGAAAAAAAAAACAAGCCAAGACCACAGCATGCACGTAGTCTTTGAAGGTACATTAAAAGGTCCTCAGAATATATGTTTGGGATGGTGTTAGGATCAACAGGTAAAAGGACAGGATACTTTGTGTTACTACCAGAGCCATTCTGTAAGGCACTGCTGGAGGTTTTCAAACTGTGTACTGGCACTACAGTGATAGTACACTAAGCCCCAAGTGCTGGACAACAGTTTACTAAGACACATTTTTAATGCATGTGCTTGGCTACAAATTACAATTGCTCTATGAGTTTTTAAAAAACTCCTGATACCCATGCTTTACTCCAAACCAGTTAACTCAGAATGTCTGGGAAGCAGTGTTTATTCACCCTCACTGCTGTGCAGCCACGTTGGAAAATTACTGTCCTGGACTGTTAAGTTGCAAAGATGTTATTCTGTTCCATATTTGTCCAGGCTAGGGCATGAGGTAATTGTGACAATATAGCTACCTTATAAAATTCTGTCAACTAATATGCAGCCTAGACATTGACTCACTTTCTAAGAGGGGTTTTGGGGAATGAGGAAATATTTCAGTGTGAATCCTGTCACCAAGGCTCTGAAACCCTGAATTTTTATTTGATTCATTTCCCTTCCCACATGACTGTGGCTAGAACTTTTGGTTTCCTTTTTGGTCGGACTGCCTCCTAATGATGTGTCATTTTCCACACACAGGGTCCTGCTTTATGCCTGGCCAGGGGGAGTGGCCATTCCTGAATCATGGCTATTGGGTCTCCTTCTGCACTCTGATTTTCCTTGCCATTTCTTACCCTCCCTGACCTTGTGGTTTCTCTGGCTTGATGAATTTTGTCTCAGGATCTAACTTTAAAAAATTAAAACTTGAATGAAAAAAAAATACATCATCAGGATATGTCATAATACAGATTTCTATTTTTGGCCAGTATGTCCTATTCTTTTAGTCTAGAAGATTCTATTTCACTAGTTAGTAGAGCATATATGTTATAATTTCTATTGTCTTTTATTTTTTTAGTTATATTATTCCAGTGTTCATTCAGAAAATACTTCTTGAGTATCTATCTATATTGTGCCAGGCATTGTGATAGTTGCTTGAAATATAAAAATTTAAGACCAAGTCCTTCATAGACTCCTTGGAAAGATGGTCAAGGTCTGTGATGGAGGAATATATGAACTGCTTTGATGACATGTAGGAATGGCACCTATTCTAACATGGGGATTCTGTACTAGACATGTCATATGTATTGGGTCATTTAGTTTTCACAATAACTTTAGCGTGGAGGGGACATGGGATTTTCATTTTACAGACAAGAAAACTAGATCTTAGAGTAAGTCATTTGCCCAAGCTCACAAAGCCAATAAATGAATTTTTTATTTAAATGCCCAATACTGGCCAAGTTTTTATTAATACATTTTATATTAGAGCAGTTTTAGGTCGCAGCAAAATTGAATGGAAAGTACAGGGATTTCCCATACACCCCCATCCCCACATACACAACCTTCCCTATTTATTGGCATATCACACCACAGTGATATATTTGTTATGGCAGATGAACCTACATTTATACATCATTATCACTCAGAGTCCATAGTTTACATTAGGGCTCACTTTTGATGTTAGACATTCTGTATGTTTTGATAACCATATAATGGTATGTATCCCCCATTGTAGTATTATGCAGAATAGTTTCACTGCCCCCCAAATTTTCTGTAGTCTGCCTGATCATCCCTCCTAACCATTCTAACCCCACTAACCGTCCCTCCTAATCTCTGGCAACCACTGATCTTTTTACTGTCTCCTTAGTTTTGCCTTTTCCAGAAGGTCATATAATTGTAGTCTTATACAGACATTTCAAATTGGTTTCTTTCATTTAGTAATATGCATTTATTCATCCATATTTTTCCATGTCATGATAGCTCATTTCTTTTTATCTCTGAATACTATTCCATTGTATTCCATTGACATCTTCTCTATTCACTTACTAAAGAGCATCTTGGTTGCTTCCCAGTTTTGACAGTTGTAAATAAAATGGCTGTATACATCCATGTGCAGTTTTTGTGGCCATGACTTTTTTGTTATTTGGATAAATGACCAAGGAGCATAATTGCTGGGTCATATGGTAAGAGTATGTTTGCTTTTGTAAGAAAATGCCAAAGTATCTTCCAAAGTGGCTGGACTATTTTGCATTTTCACAAGCAATAAGAATTCCTGGTGTTCCACATCCTCACCAGCATTTGGTGGTGTCAGCGTTTTGGATGATGGCCATAATAGGTGTGTAGTGACATTTCACTGTTCTAATTTGCAACTTGCTAATGCCACATGATGTTGAACATCTTTTCATATGCTTATTTGCCATATGTATATCTTTTTTGGTGAGGTGTCTATTCAGGTCTTTTGCCCATTTATTAAAAATTGAGTTCATTTGCTTGTTAGTTATTTATTAATATTTTATACCTCAGGTAAACTTAAGAGAATCACCTTATTAAAAAAGAAAAACAAAGCATTTCCTGAAAGCTCAGGTAGAAGCTGACCTGACCCTCACAGCTAGGCCATGATGCTCTCATGTTGAACAGAAGAAGCTTCATAGAACACTGACATCAGACAAGGCCACTTTGAAATCATGCCTGAACACAGACAAGAACAAGAACATGGTGCAAACCATAAAAATTGACCGAAATCCTCCTCTCCCTGCTAACATGACACTGCTGCCTTTTTATCAGTCACAACTTTAGCTTTACTACATTCCTCATATTCTAGATAAAAATTAAGATACTCAGTGATAAAATTGCCCCCACTTACTGAAAGCACCAAATCCAGAAGCCAAACCACCTTTCCCTGTAACATCTCCAACAGGACTAGGTTAGGTGGGGAGGGGCAGTTCCCAGAATGTAAGACTTTCAATACTGAAGTCAGGAAATCCCTAGGTGAGCTTCATCACCCTACTCTCTAAAATATTTTAGCAAGCCACTCCTAACACCCTCTTACTGAGATACCTTCCAGTCCAGTAGTGTTTGGTGGTCTTCCTTGCTGTGAACACTTCCCGTCAACCCAACCTTGCTATGCAGCATGTGGTCCTCATGGTCTTTGGTGATGCACAGAGACCAGTCAACAAAAGCAGAGCAAAGCAAAGACCATAGCAATGAATTTAGGAGATTACTCCTCAACAATAATGTTTCAATTGATTAGTTTCCTTCTACCAGAAGAAAGTGAAAAATTGCATAACTTTATGGGGAAGCCAAACAGCATGATGAATCTTAACATAAAAGAAAATGTCCAGAAAATATTGTTATGCCATGTTAAGACAGACTTTGCTTTGTTGTTTTTATAACAAGTTGCCTTCATTTTTGTCTCAGGGATCATGTCCGACCACCAGTTTGGTGACCAGTTTATGTGCAGCGTGGTGGCTTCTCATGTGAGTCACCTGCCTACGACCAACCTCAGCTTCGTCTGGATTGCTCCGCCTGCTGGCACGGGATGCATAAACTTCATGTAAGTCCCAAAGTGTCTGTGACAGGCATGAGAGGCAGCTAGACCTCTCATGGTGTTATATATAGAGAGTAACTATTTAAAAGTACCTTTGTAACAGGTTTACCTTAATTAAAGCCACTAATTCTGGTGTTAAAAAGAGGTCAAAACTGTAAAAAAAATTAACTCTGGCAGTTTATTTTTGCATATTTCTTTATACCTCAAGTTCTAAATTGGATTTTAGCTGATGAAAATGCATGATAAGATAAATGTGTCTGAAGAAACAAATAGGAAAATGAATGTTCAGAAAATAAGATGAAAGCAGTTACCAAAAAAATGCCATGAGGCTCTACACACATTTTGGCAGAAGACCGCAAACTTAGCTTTCAGCTTTCTGGCCACTAGAGCCAAAAAGGAAATGTGATCAGTTAGGTGATTCATGGTGGTGAGAAGTCAGGACTCAATAGAGGACAGTGGAGAAGATAACGGGCAACGCCCAGCCACACCCTTAGGTAAGTGCTGCACTGTGGCTCAGAGGTTGTGGCTTGTGACGTCTCAGTACAGACTGCACCCCATCCAGGCCCCAGGACACAATGACTCATCCTCCTTAGTCACCTCTCTCTTTTTGCCCATACCGTTTTCTTTTTACTTCTACAACATGATGTACTTCATTTATTTATGTGTATCATTTATTGTCTATCTCTTCCTGCTGAAATGCAAGTTGCTTGAAGACAAGATATTTCTCTGTTTTGTTCACTGTTGCCTCAGCTGTCTAGAGCAGACCCTAGCACAAAGTAAGCACCTACTAAATATTTGTTGAGTCAGTGAGGCCAATGGAATTAGACCAGAGGCAGTTCAGGAAAGCAGCAACTGTATGGGCAGCAGGCAGAGTATAGTGGGAAGGCATCTTGAATGGTTTTCTATTCTAACCTTCTGCTCAGACAGCAAAATCCCACAAAACCTTCAATACTCCAAAATTTACCACTTACTAATGTATAGTTCAGTGTCAAAGGTCTTGTGGCTTCCACCCCATGGATTATATACTCTTTCTGTCTATCCTTTGGGTTACCCAGGCTACAAACATCAGATCCATCCCACCCAGCTGGTTAACATCTATACTCATCGTTTTCTCCCCCAAAAAGTTTTTCAAATTAAACCCTTTCTTTCCAGTACCTCTTGCTAAGATGATTGTTATAGTTTCCTAACTGGTCTGTTCACCTTTAGCCTATTTCTCCTCTAGTCCATTCTGAACATTGTTGTCTGGTTAATCTTCCTAAGGCACAACTTTGATTACTCAAAACTTGGATACTCGGAAATTCCCTTCTGAAGCCCAGCTCTTTGTCATGGGTTTGAAGGCTCTTCCCAGTCTTGCTGTTTATCATCTCTCTTGTCTCTGATAGCGTGCACCTACTGTAGGGCACATGCTGGCAGGACTTACCACAATTTCCTAAACATTCAATGACTTTCTCTTTTTTCCATGCTTTTCCCTTAGCCCAGAATCCTTTTTTAATTCTCTCTTTTCCAGCTGTTAAAATCCTACCCAATCTTCAAGACCTGCTTAAAATGCCAGCTCTTCTGGAAAGCTTTCTAGGACATCAACAACAGAAATGATATGAATTGTCATATTTTACTTGTATCTCTATTATAATGCTGATTATGTTTTACTATATATTTATTTCTTACCTTTTCTACTATATTAGATTGGATGGGGACAAATTCTTTCTTCTTTGTGATTCCCCACAGGTTGTACAATATCTCAAACATAAAAATCACAGAAAATGCCTCTTGAATTATATGATGTTCAATATTGTATTTTCCTTTATCTTAGTATGATCCCTGACTCTCTCTTTTGGCATGGTGCATCTTATTCATGTTGGCATTTGGAAGGATGCCAATTCTTGCTATGAAAACTTCTTCACTTAAAACAAGAATTAACTTTTTAAAAGAAGGAACACATAGCAGATCAATGCCAGCAATAGAGAACTGCCTATTTCCAAATAAAGTTTTCAATTGCATCTATTTTTTAAAAAGATTTGATGGCTTAGGGTTTCACTGTTCCTGGGATATCACATTGTTATCTTCTTCTGAGCAGAACTTAGGTATTTAAAGTCTTATCCCAAACTATGTTAGAAAAACACAGTTTGCTCAGAGGTAATTTTTACTGACTGCAGAAAAGTTTACCTGTCCTCACCTGTATTTCCCATGTACTTTTTATCATTCTTAATAAATGGTAAGTCTCTGCTTATTATAAGCCATGACTGTGTTGAATGTTATGTAGAGTAGCTGCTTCCTATGTGGGCAAGATGCTTTGGTTGATCTTTTTTCCTAATTAGTTCCTAGTTTCCTAATTAGATCTTTTTCCCTAATTAGATCTTTTTTCCTAATGAGTACAGGAAAACTGAAGCTTAAACGTGAATCACGAAAGCAATTCATTTGAAATTTTCCAACCTCAAGTCTTACAATTTCTTACCTTTGTTTCTTACTGTGGTATTTATTATGTGTTGAGTAGAGCTATATTTAAGAATTAGTATCTGTATTTCGTATATGCTCTGTAATACTTGAAGGGCGTTGCTAATGTCAACATTAATCTTAAATATTAAATGAAACTAAAATAACACAAAATCTGTGGCACTTGAATGCAAATGTACCATGATTCTCTTTTCTAACTAACCTAAAAACTTAAAACTTTCATTTTTTTTAAGATAGGAAAATTGCTTTTTAGAAATTAACTTCAGTCATGTTTTTATGCTTTTGTAATATATTTTGTATAACTTTTTCATATTGCTAGTTAAGTCATATCATTATTTAATTTTTTACATGTGTATTCTCTCTTTAACTGGATTTTAAATCTCCCAAGGTCAGGTTCTGTGTGTAGTATTTTTACATATTTAATAGTTCCTAATATTAAACTACAGATAGAAAGCTCTCAACTATAAATAATGATATCATATTTCATTGATTCTAAGGTTCAGGTTTTGTTTTTTTTTTTACATTTTGAGATCTCTGAAATAGAGTTGCTTCTGACATTGATGGCATCTTACAATTATAATTGGCAGCATTTATTTTATTAATATCTTACAGTTGATGGTGTCTTGGATTTGAAAAAACCCAATTATATATCATTTACCGTATGCATGGTCTCTCTGAAGCTGGCAATTGAATTGACCCTACACCCAACTCCAAAATCTGATATTAGTTCAACAAATATCTGATGTGCACTCTGTGATTTTAAAACCCAGTTACCTATTTAAAATTCTTTTTTAAAAAAAAAACCATAGTAAGAATTATGGAACATTTAAACTGAAATCCAGGACTTTTATGTAATCTGCTGTGTGTACTTTTCCCAGAGAAGGGTAAGTGGCATACTGTCTGAATAAACCAGTGTTTCTTGGTTAACCACTTAGCCACACAGTCATTTGGGCTGTCTGTTTACTGCCTTTCTCGTTAAAAATAATCAGATGAGAGACATAGAGGAGAGGATGGCCTGAGGATGAACTTGCTGGCTATACTCATATAGACCTGTAAAATGGATCATAACTAAAGGTATTTGTCATTAGTTTTATGACACCTGTTGATGATATTTACATTTTTAGTGGTAATTTCACTCAGGGATCTGCTTAATATCCAGATAGTATGACAGTATAGTTTGTCTTTACTTTTATATTTGATTAGTCTTTAGTGACTAGTAAGCCTCAACTTAAAAGAGACAATTAATTATCCAAAGTTCTTACATGTAAATACAAAAAAATAAAAAGTGAAAGTCTGGGGTACAGAGAGAAAGGAGGAGGAGGAGGAAGAGGAAGAGAGGACAGGCAAAAAGGTAGAAAATGTAGGGACAGGGCGAGGGAAGGAGGGAAGAAAGGAAGGAAAGAAATATCCAAGCCACCTAACCCTAAAATTTATGAGAAACTACCAAGGAAAGGGTGTTATAAAATAACAACTACAACATTAATTAATATTTTTGAAAATTTACAGTGTACTGGCCACTGTTTTAAGTAGTTTACATCTTTTAATTCAGTTTATTCTCACAGTAATTCAATGAAGTAGGTGCTGTGATTATCTCAGTTTACAGATAAGGAAATTGAAGTACAGAGATGTTAAATAACTTTGCTAATGGACTCACCTAATGATAGACACAGCCTGGATTCAGAAGACAGTCCAGTTTCAAAGAGGTGATTTTGCCACTTAACTACAGTTGCCTCTAAAATGATCACTTATCTATTTTATTATGGTAAAATACCCAGGGTGTTGATACAATGAAAATTTAAAATAGAGTTGGTAGTGTGGTATCAACATCTCTCAAACTTTTTAAAGTGAACAAAATGTGTCTCTTACCATTTTGAAATCTGTCTCTATACAAGATACATTATCTAATTCATTCAAATATCAATAGGCACTGATGTAAATTTCTGAAATGTGGAGAATACATTAGACTAATACATCAAACATGGATTTGATCTTGATATGTATGATGTAGCTTCATTCTCCAGATGATGATTTTATCTCATCCTTTGTCACAAAGGGATTCCACTTAGAGAGGGAATGTGTGAATTAAAGGCAAAACTTATCACCATTGGACTTAGGTTTAACAACTTGGACAAAGATGCTAACAATATTAAAATAAAAAGACCAGATTTGTGCCTTAATTAGTGACAATTTAACCATAAGTGAACTCCCTCAAAACAGAACAGAATGAATCAAGCAATGTTCTATTTAAGATACTAAAGAAAACTACAAAAAATGAACTCAGGTCAATAAAAAGGTACACAGGTGGACCATCTTTGAACATTTGATATTTTAAAGGAAGATTCTCCTAGAGGAACCGTTTGTTTGAAAGCACACTAAATAAGAAGACAAAAAATATAATTTTAAAAATTGAAGATACTAGCAGTTTCTAATACCAGACGGGTTTGAAATAATACAGATGCAAAGATTTGAAGTGCTGCCTTGAGCGTGTTTCAGATGCCTTTAATTTTTGATGAGAACCATTCCAGTCTGTCTAGAGGCTTCTGCAGAAAAGATAG